GAAGAAGAATAGTTAAACTATGTGCAATGTAATGATTGTGCTTGCATTTTGTTTTGTGTTTGTTATTTTCAGAACATGATCAATGGATGAGGATGGTGGAGAGGGGATCCACATGGTGTGTTCAAGGACAGGCAGCATCTCCTCATCAAAAACTAACCTAAAAACTTGACCAATATAGTTGTGGACTGAGACAACCATTATTTTGTTATTTTGAGTTTATTACATATACTACTTTATATGTGTAGCAATGTATTTAGTGTTTGCAGGTTTTATGTGTTTATGCAGACACATGTTTACTGTAATCAAACCATCTCTCATTAGTTGGATGTATGCCCCCTGCAAGGCTGTGTGCAGCCATTTGTTTTTGTAAAATGCTACATCTGTCACACATGTTCTTCGCAGCTCACAATTGTTGGTTTTACAGTTATTTGTTATTTCAAGTTTTGAACAAAGTTAATGTCATAACTTGTGTTTTATGTTATTTTTCTTTATTCACTTGGATAGTTTGATCGTTGATTGATGGAGTAATGTGGGTTTCATAACCGGACAAATTAAAAGGATTTATGTTATAATAACAGAGCAACAAGCAAACATATTTTTTACATCTATGCAAATATATATGTAATATTTGTAACTTGAATAAGTAATACATTCAGAGTTATTTAACATTAAGGAGTAGTTACATTTATTTTACATTGCATTTAGTTACATTGCATTTAGTTACATTTATAAGTTACATCTGGCCCTTTGAGGGCAACGATTATGCTGATGTGGCCCTCGGTGAAAATGAGTTTGACACCCCTGCTGTAGGGAGTAAAACTCTAACACAGAAAATACCTCCCCAAAACGCCTCGTTGGAGATACGTCATTGTCCATTTGATTCTTCCATTTCGTTCCGGGTACGGCATGATGTCAAGCCGTACCCGGAACGAAATGGACCAATCCGTGGAGCCGCTACATTACGTCCGCGGAGCCGTTACGTTAAGCCCCCGCTGATTGGTCCAAATTGACCAATCCACGGACTTCCTCACACACACATCTGTGTGCAGGAAGCAGGCAGCTCAGCTGATTTCTCCTCCCTGGCTGCAGGCTGATAACAGAGAGTTGGGATCGCGGCGAAATTCTCTCTGCAGACCCATTCTCACTGCGTTTATCAACCTTTTTCTTACTCAATATCAAGCCACACTTATTGTTTTTACTTCGACTGTGACTTTGTGTGTGCTGAGGATGAGTTTGGCTGTGTTTCGCTATGTATGCTAAACAAGGAAACAACACCTCCACGGAGCTCAGCGCGATTCACAACGTACCGACCAATCAGAGCACACTGTGCTCACAGGGAGGGTGGGGGCTGGAGCTTTTGGAGCTACAACGAGCCGTTAAAGGCAGAGAGTGAAATTCAGTGAATACACGTAGTTTACAGAGATGCTGTATGAGAAACCAATGTGAGTTTGGAAAAATGCACAATATAAATCTATTTTAGTATACCTCAACAATGGAATTATGATCAGTGGAAATGGCCATGACATGGGCCCTTTAAGCTTTAAAAAAAATCAATATTCAAACCAAAATCAAGTGCTCATCATAGCCCCCCCCCCTCCACACTGCCCTCTCACACCTGGACCAGAGAAACACATATATGAGAATGCTGTTCATTGACTACAGTTCAGCCTTCAACACGTGCCTCCAAGCTGGTCATCAAGCTCAGAGACCTCGGGCTCAACAGCGCCCTCTGTGATTGGATCCTGAACTTCCTGACGGGCAGACCCCAGGCAGTGCGGGTGGGAAACATCACATCCTCCACCCTGATCCTCAACACCAGAGCCCCGTCTTATGACCTATATAATATGTTGCATTGTTGGAGGAGCTTGGGACCTAAGCTAATTGCCATAACTACACTGTAGCCACTGTGCATATGAAAATAAAACCCTTGAATAAAAAATATTAGATTTTTTTGGGGGTTTCTAATCCAGGCACCTTCATGGGCTTGGCTTTTTACAGCAACACATTATTCAATCTCTCATATTTTAAGCTGTAGTCATTTGCTATGTTGGCCAAATACTTTGGATCCAGAGTGAAATACACCTCAAACACCTCTGGACATTTGAGGATCAATCCTAAAGCCAATACCATACAAACATAATTTGTATTTATTTAAAAACAGAAAAGGCTTAAGAAGCATCATCAACTCTTCTTTGAGGGTTTGAACGAGACACTGAATAAGTAACAGGTATAAAAAAACAAGTAGTCACCATTGTACCAATAACCCTGTCTAATAATCCAGCCTATCTGATCTATATTAATCTGTCCTCCCACGCTGTCATCCTATGTAGGACTGTACCTGACCTGGAGGCTTACATGGGGAAGGCCACAAATTGATTGTATCGTACCTCAACTTTAACTTTAGCACATCTCTGTGTTTTAATTTGGGGGGTAATTCAAGACAATTGTAAATCAGAAACACACAGCCCCTTTCCCCAAACCCATCTGTTCCCTGAGCTCGCCCTGAATCAATAATGCTTCTCCCCTCTCTCTAAACCCGCCACAAACCCTTCCCTGCTGCTGAATTCTGCCAAATCACTTTATTCCCCCATCCCTATCCATACACACACACACACACACACACACACACACACACACACACACACACACACACACACACACACACACACACACACACACACACACACACACACACACACACACACACACACACACACACACACACACACACAAGCTGCCCCTCACCCTCTCTCCCAGGATGATTCTAGTCCATTCCCATTGAGCAGCATTAGCATACAGATGTTCGAGTGAAAAGGGAAAGCAGGGAAACACAAAGGGGCCTGCATGACCAGGAGGGGAGGGAGGGGTCGAGGGGCTGCACAGGGATGGCCCTTGGCCTTTTTAAGGTCTTACAGACACACACACACATTCATGCACACCCACAGACACACAAACACTACCACGGGTATTGAATGGTAAGTAGCCATGGGGGTTGTGGGAGTCTGCTCCTGCTTCACACCACTGTTATTCATTCACCAGAGGGAAACCCTAGCAGGCCCACAGCTGAATGCCAACACACACACATACACATACACACACACACACACACACACACACACACACACACACACACACACACACACACACACACACACACACTGCCTTTTTTGCCTGTGTGCTCTAACAAATGCTCACACAGGAACATGTTTTGTGAGCTAGCCTCTTAAAACCTTTTTTCATCTCACTGTAATAGTAACACGCTCAGTCCGAGGTTCCAGTATGTCCCTCAGGTCACTGTTTGGTCTACAATGTAAATGACTAATAAGAGTTAGAAACATAGAAAATATAAACATTTTAACAGCAACAATAATACTTGAATACATATGATTACCTTGCACAACTGTTATTTACCATTTCTGTATACCATCCTATGTATATATGTTATATACTGTATGTTATGTCTACATTTCTGCTGCTGTAGTATATTGGTCTTTTAGAGAGAATTCTAATCTATCCAGAATATTTGATATTGTGTATTCTGTGTGATATATGTCTTTTCTACTGTAGATATTTGCTGTTTATGTTTATTTTGACGTCATTATGTAAAAACTTTATTCCACGTTTTAATGATCTATGTGTTTGTTGTAAGATATTGTATTGATGGGTGATTTTGGGTGTGACAGCATGTTTCAGTTGAGTGTTTATTTCTTGGTCGTAAGTGTACTTCATAACTTTTTATGTTAACTTTTATAACACTACATCTTACCAATAAATAACACAGTACAGCTGATGTTAGAACATATTTAGATTTGACATCAAAAAACATTATTGGATTCTTAAATACAGTGTATTGTAAAAGATTAAACTAGCTAACAGTCTATCAAATGAGCTCCGCCTCCACCAACACATAAATGGTACTTATTTTTCAACACACACACACACACACACACACACACACACACACACACACACACACACACACACAGGGGAGAACGTCAACTTCTGCTCCACTTTGTGTGAATAGATGGAAATCAGTCACAAGTATCTCTGTGCCCCATTGTGTTCTGGGAAGTCTTTGTTCGAGCATCTGTTGCCCAAACATTCTCCTCAGTGCCACTCACTCTAAATTGGTCTGTTGAGACGAGTTGTAACCAAACTCACTCCTCTTCCCACACCACACACACACAACACACAACACACAACACACACAGAGGGGAAGGTGAACACGAAAGAGTTAAGTTTGTTCTTTTGTCTCCATGATGGTTTAGAACCAGGAAGTAGTGGCAGCATTTGATAGGGATGCTGGTGGGAAGGCTTTTCCTAAAGTGAACATTTCTGTAAGACCATAATGTTAACCACTAAATATTTCTTAAAAAGCTTTTTGACTCATGTTGCACTAAAAAACTAAACAAATAGATGAAGGCCAATCATTTCAGTATGTGTTTATATAAGTTGGAATAAAGCAAGTCCAAATACAAATTGAGTTTCCCAAAGAAATCAATTATATTAAGTGTACAGTTATCATACATCTACACCTCCTTTGTTTCTGCATCTCCTCATATTATCCATATTCTTTAATGTCATATAAAGATGTGGTCCACAGTTGTTCTCTGCAGAGTCTGCCTGCTCATCCAGCTGAGCTAACCTGAGTCAGAGGGATCACGTTACGTGTCATGAGACAATCTGTGCAGAAAACTGGATCAAAAGATATGGTTTTTGAGAGAGAGAGGGTGTGATGTGATTATACTCTGTTCAGTCCATGTGGATCAGAATTAGAGAGACCATTTAAAGAGCTGAGTGTTGGATTTCATTTTTTCTATATTTATGTTGCATTATATTTAGAACACGTTTTTATTGTTTATTTAACTCATAAATTACTCAAGATTGCAAATGATCTGATTCATAGGAGAATATCTATAATCCTGAAACATCCTGGATGTTACTTTAGACAACATGACAAAACAACACTTAGGTGTGATGAGATGCAGACAGCTGAGCAATCATTTTTCAAAGACTTTTATTTTGAAATGAAATGGGACAAATATATTAAGATAAAGAGCCAGCATGTGAACATAACCCATGGAATGTAAACAATAAATGCACTTAAATTATGCAAAACAAGAAACACAATTTCAACACCACAATATAGGTTTTGTGTTGAAAAACAAAATAAATAAGACTTTAAGTTAACAAAAGTTACAAAAGCTGCTTGCTGCCAGGTCTGCAGCAACAGAGCGTCTCTGGACCATTTCTCCACAAACACACACCATAAAAGTCTTGATTCCCCCTGCCGCTCAGTCAGCTGGCGTGCAAGGTCGACCTACAAACACATTGTCATCAAGGCAACTCTGATAGATAAAATGAAACAGTAATCAAAGGTAACCTTTTCACCTCTCCGTTTACATCACAATAGGACAGTCACACAGGATTTAAAGAGTGTAGGAATGTCCATACACCACGACCAAATGCAGTTCAGCAGTCTCGGATCAGGCAAACATGCACAATGACATATTAACACTCTTTTCTAAATAATTTCCTTATCATTTGATAGCTGTGCTGCTCCTAAACTAATGATCTTAGTGTAAACATATTTTAATTTATAACTGCTGACTCTGAGGTCATGAACCACTCTTTCAACACCATTTTGCTTTGTATAGAGATAACATCACTAAACAAACTGAAAAAAGGTTATTACAGTCAGAGGCTTAGTGGAGAGGAGTAGACTCACTGTGTGCTGACACCATCAGCAGTTAGCATGGCTAATGCTACTGATCCCAGATGTTTCAGAGGCAGTACCATCAGAAGGCTCCTCTAGTGGAAGATAACCACTAACTTACTAATCGAGCTGCTCATGGTGTTAACTCAGTGAGACTTGATTTCTGCTGGCCATTTAGCCAATAAGGCAACATACGTACTTATAGAATGCCAAAAATGTTTCTCTCCCTCCCTTTGTCTCCTCTCCGCTAGCCTCATTAAAGCTACTGGATAGCATCAACCGAGCAGATGGCCATCATGAAAGTAAAGCAACGTTTCTCTAGCATTATAACACAGCATGAACACAGACACAAATCACACATAGCAACCTATACAAAAACAATAAATATCTAGAAACATCTAGAAATGTTTTAGCTATAATATCAATATCATAAAACTGTATATTACCTGTTGGTAAAAGGCTAGGTGTTAGCAATACTAGGTTAGGGTAACTCTAACACCAATTTTGGTAACTAGAGAGTCAGTGGGGTGCCTAAACTTTTTGTTGCTGATGTTTAGTTTAGCTATATCTGAGCCACAGTTAATATGGCTGACAAATACAATCAGGTGGCCACAGCCATGCAACCAATCAAGTAATCAATCAGTGACAGCATACAGTACTCAGCCTCTTACTCTTGGAAAAGAGGCTGCTTACACAGGTGGAGGGCCCTGCTATGACTGGCATCACTCTAAACTGTTGCAAGGAACAAAAATAAGCCAGTTGTGAAAAAACAACTTTGCTATCCTAAAAAAGCACTCCAGTCATGCACAGGGCATACAACATTAATCTTAAGATGTCATCAGGGTACAGGGAATTGGTATACAACAGTATACAGCAGTAACAATGGCAACAAATAAAAAACTTTTTAAAAATAACAATAAAACAAAAAAGGAGTCAGCTAAAACTGGACGAACACTGAGCAGCGCTACAACTGCTTGGATGAGAAATGCAATATGCACAAAGTTGGGTACTCTTACCCGGCTGGGTTCAGGGAGGAACTGGAACACTATGTTTGAATCGAAAGCGACTTGTATCTCAACTGTTTAAAAAGTCTAGTTGTGATAATGGAGTTTCTGCTTGATTTACAACACATATTGTGTGTTTGTTGTTTTTGGACTGGAGAGAAAAAATCTGATCCTCGTCACATAGATTTGAACAATAAGACCATCCGTCCCCCATTAAACTCAGCCCTGCAGTAAACCATCCCTACTCGTCTGTGACGGACAGCCGGCTGAAGATGGGAAGGCGCCGGCCCTCGAAGCTCGGAGACTCTGTGCCACTGGAGGCCGAGCTGAGGGAGCAGGAGGAGGTGTAGCCCTCCTCGGAGAGGGACTCCGCCGAGGAGCAGCGCTGCAGACTGTGCAGGGAGACGGGCAGCTGCTGGGGGAGGAGGTAGGGGAGGTTTGGGTTCTTGGAGGTGAAAGTGGAGGCGGCAAACTTGGAGCTGATAGAGTCGGTCACCGCGTAGAACCGCAGAGACGAGTCCCCGCTGTCCCCACCCAGCTCTGGGACCCCAGAGAAGGGGTAGGGACACTGCTTCAGGGACCCCGGCTGAGGGAAGAGGGGGGAGAGGAGCTCTGGGCTCCCTGTGGAGGAGGGAGGGGGGGAGACTGAGGAGGCCCGGGTGAAGAGGAAGGAGGAAGGCTGCGACTCCTCCACCGGTTGGAAAGTCTGTGGAGAGGAGGAGAAGCCTGCGAAGCTGACGCTGTGACGCAGCAGGGGGGGCCTCATCCTGGGTTTCTGTGAAGGGCCCCCGCCGTCCAGCATCTCGTCTGCGTTGTGGATGAAGTGGCAGCGGGCGCCGTACGGGCAGAAGCCGATGGTGTGGAAGGTGCGGCACGGCTCCGTCTTGTACTTGGGGTGCCGGCTCAGGCCCCTCATCTCGTCCATGCCGTGGGCAAACTGACATTTGGCCCCGTACTTGCAGGTCCCGTTTTCTTCGTAGGTGCGGCAGAGTTCGGTCTTGTACCGGGTGGAGATGTGAGGGGGGGATACTGGGGATATGGTGTCAGAGGGGGAGGCAATGGAAGAGAGAGAGGTGTTGCTGAGGCAGAAGCCTGGTGGGGGGAGCAGCACCTTGGGGGTCAAGTTAGCCAGTTTGTCCTCTCTGGCTGCCAGGCTGTGGCCCTCGATCATGCTGACCGAGCGGTCCACTCTGAAGGGGATGTGGCTGAGCGAGGAGCGGGGGAGCTGACCGTCCTGGCTCCACTGCTGGGGGGGGGCCATGTTGAACCCCCACCCGGCTGAGTCAGCCACCTCAGAGCTGCTGCTGCTGCTGCTGCTGTTGAACTTGGAGTTGGGGAGGGTCACCGGGCACAGGGAGTGGCGGCGCTGGAAGCCCAGGACCCTCTGGTTCTGGTTCTGTGGTGGCAGGGAGCTGGGTAGAGGGCCATCTGTCGCCTCCATGCCGCGGAAGTTCTGTCACACAAAAGAGAGGAGAAGAATAGATGTGAGCTTTATGCATTCCTGGAGCACTGGAGCGAGGCAGGGCCAAGCCGAGCTGAAGGGAGATTGCAAAGCTGCAGCTAAAGCAACTGAGAACATTTTATTAAGAAGTACGATTGTTTTTTAACTTGAGAAAAATATATGAAACCACAAAACTGTTCTTGCAGTTTAAGATTTGGTGTCAGATTTTCTGTTAAAACAAGCTGCCCACTCTACATTTCCAGTTTTCACAAGTTCACAATGTTTTAAGACAGTCTCACTCCAATCTAGATTCACCCCAAAACTGAAAGGACTTATTCCTATGAGCCGTATTCCTACAGTTTAGATACATCCAAAAACCACTTCATCTATATGTAAATTACTTCTACTACTTTTTATTATTATTCTACTGAATAATATGTTACATGACTTTTCCCTAGTTGTGTCTGCCAAGCCAGAGCTCATCACAGTTGGATGCAGAAAGTTAGTCAATACTTGTAAATAGTGTGAATTGTGATTTGTTGCTCTCACCTTGAAGAACTCTTCATCCAGTTCCAGGAAAGGCGTTAGAAAGTCGGAGGGCATGGTTCGCTCCAATGTCCTCGCTGAGTGAAGGGGCTGGGGTCTGGTCCCTCAGTGCAGGAAGGCTGGGGGGGAGAGAAAGAATACAGAGCCTGGCCTCTAAGGAGCTGAGCCGGCACAGAAAGGGTTTCAGGGCCCGGAGAGCCTCGGAGAGTTCCGTCCTTTGAAGGTCGTTATTTGGCGGTCAGGAGAAACTGCTCTCCCAGAGCGGAAAGAGGTGTTTGTAGGGAAGGGGAGAGAAGTGAAGAAGTGGTCCGGTCCGTTGAGAGGGAGTCAGTGAGGGGGGAGAGAGAGCAACGTGACCCTTTGGAAGAAAGTTCCTCCACCATCTGTTGGAATCTGCTTAAATAGTTGGGGAAACCCCCCCCCCCATACACACCCACCCCCTCCCTGTGTTCTTCAGGGGGCAGGGCAGGGAGTGTGTGTGTTAATGTGTGTTAAAGTGTGTGTGTTGGGGGGATGGGGTCCTGCATTGTAATAGTGTGCTGGGGGGCAGGGTGGGCACAGAAAGAAGAGGGGGAGCTGAATGAAGCTACTTTTCTACCCATTCATTACCAAATCCTTAAAGATGCATTCTTCTCTCTCTAACCGCCCCCCCTCACTTTGTGACGATCGATACAGCTAAGGAGATAATTACACGTGTTGCAAACACAACAAATACATGTACTGTCATTATCTTAGTCAGAATGTCCTGGTTAAAATGCAGCATTGTTTCTTAATTTATATAAAAGTGTGCTTGTACTACTCGGTCAAATGTTTTAAACAACACTGCATGAACCTCGATTAAAGGCATCAAAGTTGACAGAAAAGGGATAAACATGCTGCATGGGAGAAGATAAATGCATCCTGGTTTTTACTCTTTCGTAGATATTTTTGATAAAAGAAGCTCATTTGAATTACATGACTGCTGTAAGAAAATGACAATAAACTTTAAATAAAAAAGACCCACATATCTTTTCAACTTTGCAATGGTTTCTGTTTTAGCCAACATAATATTCTAAAACTGGATTTATTTCTAGTACTTAGTGTAACAACAGTTTAAGCAATCCCACTCCAGAACATGTAAGAGCAATAACTTGTTTCAGACTTGATTCCCACTGGATTGGGTTTGTACTTGATATCCATTTTCTTAATGTCTTTCATTTTTGTAAAGCACTTTGAATTGCCTTGTGTTGAAAGGTGCTATATAAATAAACTTGCCTTGCCTAGTACTTCAAGTACGCACAAACTGGGATATTAAAAAGAGTTATGGTCTCTAATGTGACATTGTTTCTCCTAATCCATGGAGGGATCTCAAATCATTTAGGTCTTTAATATAACTTAGATTCAATTGTTTCTACTAGTCTAAACTAGCTTTCTAACAAAGGTGAGTTGGTGATTCAGCCTGGGTCAGAATCCTCTGGAAAACCTTTTGTGGGGAGTTTGTACGTCTTCAACATGTCTGTCAGTAGTTCTCTACTTTTCCTCCAACACATGTCGATTGGAAACCAAATTCCCACAGGTGTAAATGAAGTGTGAATGTGTTCAACGTACCACACCCAGGTTAGTGATTCCAGTGTTAGCTCTGGGTCAGAGAGGCCTTAGGCTAAGAGATGATATTGGTTGATATAAAGAAAATGTAAAGGGTATACAATGACAAGGTGTTTTATGTATTGGGTTTGTTAAATTAATTGTACCCACACAAATAGTTACATTAGCTACAATGTCTGACCTTCCAAGCACAATACAGCCTCAAAGTATTTAAAAACGTTATATTTCACTGTTATCTCAATGTGTATTATATTCATGGCTTCACAGTTATGAGAGATAAGAACACGTCCTGACTTGTGGGTAAGTCGTGATCCAGTCCTTCAGCACTGATGTTTTCATCGTCACGGTTTGTCATTACAAAGCTTATTGTTGTGTTCAAATGCAAATTGAGGTCAGTAAGGAGGGTTCAAAGCTAGCAGGGTGGACATTTTTTTGATTGTTCCACAGTAACACATGGGACAGACAAAGAACGCTGTGGTTTGAATGGGTCAACAAGAGAGTTCCAACTTCCATGATTGTGCCACTGACGTTAGTCTCAAAAAGTCAGCAATAACAGCACGAGGAGCCCCCACTGTTCTGAAATAGACACGGTATTTATTGATTTATTATTAAACACCTGATCATCTCAATTCTGCCATGTTGAATGTCCACTCTCAAACAGTCTCTTATGCTTAAATGCAAAAACGTAGTTTAGCATTGAAATATACAAATACATTTTTTTTTCTAAAGGTACATATATCGACAACCATCTACTGTGAGTAGAGTGCATGCAGTATTGAGTTAATTATTCATTTATGGATAAACCACCCAAAATCATTAACGTCCGGACTATCCCTTTGAGCATTGAGCAGCCCTGGTGGAGGTATGGTAATTGAACATGTTTGCTTTAACATTTTTAATAAACCAGGACGTGTATTTTCTTGAAAACGGCCGGCCTGTCCACAGAGTTAAGAGTGTGTAACTTGTTTGTTAGAACAATATTTAGTTTAGGTCCCAACTCTCACTGAGGCCCCGGCTCCACGAGGACGAAAACGGGTTGAATCCGCATATTTCTCATGCGTATAGCCCTCTAAGCTCGACGACGCCGTAAGGGAAACGTAGAAACAGACCCCGCAAACGACAACGGGTCCAAAGGTGGATAGATCTGGGAACGGAGCGCTCTGGGGGGTCCAACGGGGCCGTGTGGTCGCCGATACGGTCATTCGTTTTCATAGCCCCGCCTCTCCCCCGCAGGGTTGCTATCGTGCTCCAGTCGCTACTGACCATGCTACAGTTCTTTGTGCAACATCTACAGGAGCTCCTCCTTGAATTCAGATTATTTATCTTTATCTCGATATGGACATAAACGCGAGTGAAGTCTAATCTGACAGGACGGAGACACGCAGCTCCTCACGCTGTGATGCAGCGGGAGCAAAACACACACTTCAAGTCAGATCATCACCCTTAGCTATTTTAATTACCTCTCAAACTACCTAAACTAGTTATAAATATGTTCATTTTTACTGTCGGGTCACTCATTACAGGATCAGCTGCTGCATGAGACAGACACTGACGCTGTGAGAAGAGAGGAAAAAGAGAGGCTCCGTGTATTTGATGATTATATATCATTATATCGTCGTTATTCATTTGTTTTAAAGCTCAATAAATAACAATGAAGACCTTTGACCGGCACTTTTATAATTTTGTCCGGAAGATTTAAACTTTAACACACGCTGACCGGCGAAAAACTCTGCCCGGTTCTGTCGGCCCCCACCGCGGAGAATACACAGAAGTGCAGCCATGACAACCATTCTTCTTCGCTGCTTTTGTGGAGGAAGTTGCTGCTTTTGTGGAGGAAGTTACAGCGCCACGTACAGGTTCGGCATATGTACTGCAGCTTTTCCAGCGTTTGGATGTAAACGGAGCCGTCTCGTGGAGCTTGACACAATCCGGTGTATATTGCGTGGGGACGGAAGGTTTTTTGCGGTTGCATTTGCGTTACTCCGATGCGTTTTGCCGTATTTGTCCTCGTGGAGCCGGGGCCTAAAACTCAGAGTACTCACACTGAGTACACAACAAGTGTGAAGTGGTTGTTGTGTGTATGCAGTGTGAGAGCACCATGCATTTCAAACGTGTTGACTATCTGATGTTAGTGCAGAGCATTGTGTCTCTGTGTGGACCTGACAGGACGTTTCCGACGTGTTAATGTTGTCGTCGGGTGGCGTGGCCCATTGAGAAGTCCAGGAGCTTCACAGAGGAAGTGGAAACTCTGCAGTTTATTGTATTGTGGGAGCTTGTAATACTGAAATATACTTTGAAATTATACAATAAGAAAATGAATGACATATTTGAGTGTATATGCATTAATATCGCATTTTTAAATGTAGCTGGTGTACTGATTTGTAAACAAAAAGAGAAAGTGCTACTGAGGCAAACATATATTTGTCCTCCATGTATAAGTGACCCGAGCCGCCACATGTTCAGATACTTTGTGGCTGGACTGATGCTTTCCACTTGGAGTTTTGAATTCCCCCGTCCCCAGTCTAAAACTTAAACTGGATTTGGATTTCCAGCTCGAAAGTCGAGAGAACCCCACCAACCCTCATCCTCCAGATCTGAGACAGAGTTTATTGGCACTTTTGTCTCATTTGTGTGTAATGTCATCATTAATACACACGCTTTTGTCCAACTTTTCAAAGATTCAAAGGCTTTATTGTCAGATGCACAGTAGCTACAGTGTAGATATGGCAATGAGAATCTGAAGTCCCAGGCTCCTCCAACAATGCAACATAATATATAAGACATAAAACGATAAAACAAATTAACAAAAAAACAACATTTCTATTAGTGGAAATGCTAATGCACTTTTATCAACAGGTATTGCAAATAATGGTTGTTGAAGTGAACAGTCGAACAGTCTGACGTCGTTCTTAATTTGATTTCTGACTTCTGAGATCTACAGCAAAATAACTGAGTGACAGTTTATTTCAAAGAGGCTAAGACAAACTGTAAAACACATAACAGACATTTCTTATCACAACGCCTCACCCACCCATTACAGCGGTGTGTGAGTGTGTGCGTTTAGGGTTAAATAACTGTAATCCATTGTGGTTTCCTCCCTGCGGTGGGTTTGTTTGGTAACAGACTGACTGTCGTTATGTCTCTCTCCTAACTTTCCTCGTGTCTACACTTAAACACTTTCTTTCTTCCTTTCTTCCTTTCTAGTCATAGTCTTCTTGAATCACCTTGCTAATTTGTAGCAAAAAGGGTTGACATAGTCGAGTAATGAAAGACACATTTGTGCGTCAGCCTCTACCTGTATGGTGTATTGTATGTGCTTCTGGAAACAGTGACCTCTCTTCTTGTTGGTCTGCTGGCACAGGGACAGGTGAGTTGGTGAGGGACAGTGCTGTAATGCGTTAAACCAGTTAAGCCCTGAGCCTGTCTTTCAGGCCTGAGGCTCGAAAATGACATGCCCAGAACAAATGACTATATTTTCACTTCTAAAAGGGGTAAATTAATGATCTTTTTTCTTAAAGCAATGATAAACCTGTGAGTTGGATGTAGAAAAGTCAGAATCAATATAGAATATTTTATTTTAAAGTAAATTCAGATTGAACATAGTAAAACAATTTAAATTATAGTGTCCGTCCAAAACAAAAAACATTACTTATAGTGAAAACCACCCTTGAATGATGGGATGGTAGACTAAAAGCTTTAGGAATCCACACTATAACATATAATAAGTACCTTGTATCAAGATTGATGCAAAAATAAGTGACATTTGACATTTTTAGAGAGATTTAGAAAGAAAAAAAACACTT